TTTTTTTTTTTTTTTTTTGGCTTTTGTTTTAGGTGGGTTTTTCTTTTTTGAATGAGAGAGGAGAGAAATAACATGAATTGTGTAGATAGGGAGGTTGGAAAGATCTGGGAGGAGGTGGGGAGAGAAAAACATGATATTTTGTATGAAAAAATGTCAACTTTACCGTATGTGTATGGGTGTTGCCTATATGTATGTCTATGCACTACATGTGTACAGTGCCTGTGGAAGCCAGGACAGGGCATCAGGGCATTAGATCCCTGGGACTGGTGTTACAGACGGATGTTAGCTACCATATTAGGAAAATGAATCTCAGTTTTCTGGAAAGTAGCCAGTACTCTTAATTGTCAAGTCATCTTTCCAGTTCCCCACTTTAAAATTTATTATTAAATTATGACTGTTTTCATTCATGCATGGATGTGTACCATGAGCAGGCCTAAAAAGGGTGTCAGGTCCCCTGGTAATGGGGTTACCATAACCACAGATGGTAATGATGATGGCTGTGAGCCCCCATGTGGATGCTGGGAACTGAACCTGGGTCCTCTCTGAGAGCACTAAGTTCTCTTTACTGCTGAGCTTATCTCTCTAGCCTAGGGATGACTGGTGACCTTGGAGTCAGTTTTGTAAGCCAAGGCAGAGCATATCCCAGCTACATACCCATTCCTCATCATGTTCCTCCCCTTGCAGACAGCAGGCCAGCACCCTTACTTCATAAAGGATGTCACCGACTTCAGAGTTAGTTCAATGACTGTGCACTGGGCTACAAGATTTCTTACAATTCTTATAGAACAGCTGAATATTTATTGAATATCCGGAAACAATAAAATGATAGGTAACTGAGACAAACAAGTATGAGATAGTACCAAATTCTATCAGGGGAAAGCATGTATTTACATACATTTTAATTTTATGATAAACTTGAAGTAAAAGTAATACCTTGAGTTCCTCATGCACGTTCAGTAAATTCCCCCATGAAAAGTAACAATATCAAAACTAATAATTGTTTAAATATCAATAGATACTATGAACTATTGCCTGTATATTTTATGAGCTCCATGTCATCACCCAAAACATTAAAACTCTCTTTGAACTCCTTTAAAAACCCATGTACCACATTAAAGAAAATCAGCAATTGACCAAAATGCAGAGTTGTGGTATCCAGTACCAGCAGGCACATCTACAGTACACTCCTGTGATGTGGGAGTTTCCTCTGTGTGCTTTGATTACCATTAATGAATAAAGAAACTGCCTTGACCTGTTGATAGGTGAGGAAAAGTAGACAGAATGCTTAGAGGAAGAAGGCAGAGTCAGGGAGCCATCATGGAGTCACCAGAAATAGATGTGCTGAAACTTTGCTGGTAGGCCATGACCTCATGGTGATATACAGATTAATATAAATGGGTTAAATTAATATATAAGAGTTAGCCAATGAGAAGGTAGAGCTAATGGGCCAAGCAGTGATTTAATTAATACAGCTTCTGTGTGGTTATTTTGGGGCTAAGTTGGCCGGGAACCAAACAAGTGGGATCCTCCCAACAGATTAGCACTAATGTGGCCAACTAAAATCCATGTAAAAGCCTGAGAGAGCTTGAAAAGGAATTCTATTCACAAAAGAACAGAGTTTAGTACAGTTTCTTGGTAGCCACAAACTTTTTTTTCTAGATGGACTTGTGGTAAGGTGCTGCAGGGCACAGTAAAACTGCTTGACTTCTTAAAAAAAAAAAAAAAAACAGTGGCTTCCTGATTCACCAGCATGAATGGCTCTGGCTCTATTGGGAGGTTCAGCTATTGAGCATTTAAGTGGGGTTTGTGGGTAGCATATTGCAAGTTACTTGGTGGCAGCATGAGCCAACCAGTTATCAGAGTTAAGGTGGTGAGGATGGCTCCTGTCTGGCAGTCTCAGACACTAACAGACTTCCACCATGTTGGACTGTGCAAAGCAAGCAGGCACTGCCACATTTCCCCTAGCAATGGCCCAGCTTAAGTTT